AGTAATTATATTACAGAAAAAAGACTCATGTCATTGTCGAAAAAGTAGTTTCCAGAGAAATAACTATGATAGTATATTGCAACAAAAGAAAAATGCACTTAAAAACAAGTTCATTAGATGTATGAAGTATTATCCTGTAGGAAAGAATATGTGCACATTCATTGTCCAGTGGTGTATGGAAACAAATAATGAGGTCATAAGGAAATAAAATGTTTAAGGTACAAATAGTGTTAATAATATTTTTTCATTGTGACTATTTACATAACAGAACATTTTGTTTCATCAATGTCACATCTACTGACCATTTATGAATGGTCTGCTGTCTGCAAAGTAATGGTGGATTATAGACAACTAAAGCTTATCCCATAACAAGGATGTAAAGGATGGATTAAAAAAAACAAAAAGTGCCGGAACTGACACACATCATACAACCTGCCTTGCCTACCCTACAAGGTTCCATTCAAAAAAGGTGCCGGAACTCCGTTCTGGGTGTTCTATGACAAAAAAAAAAAGCCCTGGATTAAGACCTCTGGAGTATCACAAACAACTTAAAGGGATCTACTTTTTAAAAATGCATCAGGCATAGTAGTGCAATAATTTTCCAATTGGCTGAGGTTCACGTTGGCTGGGAGTTCTAGGAACTGCAGTCCCAATACATCAATGTAATGGCAGCTTGGGTGCAGTTTCAAAAATTCTTGATTTCACAAGTACACAAAGAGTGAATTTTTTTTGTAGAGGAGGCAGATGAACGAAGTACAAATGTAAACATAATAAAAATGTGTTATTGTATTGTACAGTTTGCTCAAAGTACAAACTTGGCAGTTATTAAAAAGTTTAGTCTATTCTGTCACTCTTATAAGAAAGCAAAAGAAAAGTCAACCAACTCTGGTATTCATGGAAGAAATATATGTCCTGTCAGTTACAAATAAATTCAGAAAGATGATAAATCACCCTGTATCCAATTTATTCTATACAAGCTTAAGATGTAGGGAACATTAAGGAAACAAGTTCACTAATTAGTAACATTCTGTTTCACCCAAGGCTATTTTATTGTTCTGATTCTGATAGTTATTCACTCTACTCTCTCAGAGGTACAAAAGTTAAATTTTATATACTGGTTGAAAATTTCTTCACTGTAACTTACCATTTTTATAATCTTTCACCAGCTGTCATGTCTACCCCATTCATTTCCCTGTGAACTGGTGACGGGAAGGGAAGAGGAGGATCCCCTGGATTTCTTTCCTCTCCCTGGCTGGGATAAATGTACAGGGGTCTTTCATCAACTGCTGTCCACATAAATACTTGGATCAAACATTAAAAACTGGAGGCTGGAAGTGGGGTTACCTATTTACAGAAGCTTTTTTGGGATTTCCAGACGTGGCTGTTAAAATCTGCCTTAACCCAACTATCTAATCCAGTGGTTCTCAACCTTTTTAATGCCGCGACCCCCAACTGGTCGTAAGCCAAGGACTAAACCGGTCGTAAGTCGAGGACTAAACCGGTCGTAAGTCGAGGACTACCCAACCGGTCGTAAGTTGAGGACTTTCCCTGCCCGGGAGCACCACGCATGCGTGGTTCCGCCCCCTGTGCCGGCCGAGGCATAGCTGGCAAGTGGCAGAGACGGAGCAGGCCGACCACCAGCTGGCCCAGCTCAAGGGAGGTAAGGCACCCGCCGGAAAAGAGGAAAAAAATGGCGGACAGCCTTGCTTGGCGACCCCTGTGAAATGGTCGATCGACCCCAAATGGGGTCGCGACCCATAGGTTGAGAACTGCTGATCTAATCTGTACTGAAGAGCAGCAGTCTCCAGAATCAGAAAAAGACCTTCCCTGCCATTTTATGGAAGTAGGATGTTCATGCAAAATATCTACTTGTCTCTGAGTTATGCTTCATGACAATATTATGGTTCCTATCAGATTGAATGATAATAATTAAAGAAGAATTGCAAGTGGAAACAAGTTCTCATTCATACTTGATACATAGCACTTCTGGAATCATAGCACCCTCTGGTAATAATCAAGATACCCTTGCAATGCATAGCCTTATCCAGGACAACCAGTTATTACATGCAGCTCATTGCTTAAAACTACAGCTGGACTATATCTATATTCTTGATAACATCAAGAGAGAAATGAGTGACCACATAAAAACTTCATCCAAGGAAGAAGTTATGAATCATGTTACCTTGTAAAATCTCTGAAAAAGATAACTTGGGAATCTCAAGGTCAGAGTCTGCAGTAAATAAATCTTTAGTTATTTCAATTCCATCACTCATGATGTTCAAATGTTATGCTAAAATGCATTTCTGAATAGATATTTTAAAATGAACTTCAGTTTGAACCAGCTTTTCTTTGCTCCCTACCTTCTTTTAACAATATGAATGCTTATTCCAGACTAAAACAAGTTGATATGGTTTGCAAAAACATCTTAATGAATAAAAAAAAATACAGTATAGAACAAGAAATCTCTAAGATACATGGGTGTCTGCAAAGGAAATGTTCCACTGTCAGAAGAACAAAGCAATTTCAAATTTACAGGAATGTTACTGTAAATCAGGGGTAGTCAACCTTGGCTCTTTTATGACTCGTGGACTTCAACTCCCAGAATTCCTGAGCCAGCTAAGATAAGCTAAGCTGGCTCAGGAATTCTGGGAACTGAAGTCCACGAGTCATAAAAGAGCCAAGGTTGACTACCCCTACTGTAAATGATGCTGCCACAGAAGTCAAATTTAGGACACTCTGTAATGTCAAATGTATATTAATAATGAAATTTCAAGATTAAATTTATTAGAAATTTCCGTATCTTAAAATTATCATTACTAATATATGGCTAATATGCAAAGAAAAAGAACAACATGAACCTGATGGGTGGGGTCAGTCAGTATTTCACACATCTGGCTAATTCCTTTCTCAGGTATACCAAAGGCAGATGACATATGGCAAAATCCTATTCTCCAAAAGCTACTTCTAAACTGATTTCCACCAAAATACTAAAGTGCCGTCTGCCTTTCAGCAATGTGCCTCAAAAGATGGATCTAATAAATTCCTGTCTCTTTAACAAATCCATTTTTCCATAATGCCAAATTACTCCTAGAACCTGGGGGAAGCACCTGAAAGAAAATGTGAGACAAAGAGATTCATTAAGAACATTTCATGTTTTGCATCTGCCAAACTCTCCTTGTGACGGAGTCATTCTAATCTGCTCTTTAAAAAAAGTCTGTTACAGTCCTGAAAGGGGGATTTTAAAAGAAATGTGGCTGTTTCAGTGATAAGCACAGCAGGATGTCTGTAATGGTTGATCAACTGAAAGCAAAGAGATCCTCCAGCTACACTACATATGGAGAACAGTTGATATATGTGCTTAGCAGGACAGGCTCTGCAATGGGTCTAATATGCTGTTTGAAGTCTACAGAGTCCTTTTAGACACAAACAAAAAGTTCCACCCTTGTGCAGCTGAACACTAGCCTTTCATGGTCTGTTCCCTTTCTTATTAACTCTTCCAGTTCTTCAGTATTCTGGAGCACATATCCCTGGGTTTTGTTTGTCTAAATCAGGGATTCTCAACCTTTTTAATGCCGCGACCCCCAACCGGTCGTACGTCGAGGACTAAACCGGTCGTAAGTCGAGGACTAAATCGGTCGTACGTCGAGGACTAAACCGGTCTTAAGTCGAGGACTACCCAACCGGTCGTAAGTCGAGGACTTTCCCTGCCCGGGAGCACCGCGCATGCGTGGTTCCGCCCCTGCGCCGGCCGAGGCGTAGCTGGCAAGCGGCAGAGATGGAGCAGGCCGACCACCAGCTGGCCCAGCTCAAGGGAGATAAGGCACCTGCCGGAAAAGGGAAAAAAAATGGTGGACAGCCTTGCTTGGCGACCCCCGTGAAATGGTCGATCGACCCCAAATGGGGTCGCGACCCATAGGTTGAGAACCGCTGGCCTAAATGTTATATATATATATATATATTCTTGGTATATATATATTTACAAGACCTGAAACAAGGGAGGACAACCTTGTATACTATGCAGCACTACCTCCTTTTTCTGTGATCCAGAACCTTCACCAGATGACATATTTGTAAAAAAAATGAAACAATAATCAAAATCTATATATTAAACATTTTAGAAACAACTTCAGCAAAGCAAATTCACCAATCTAATGACATCGTCTCAATTTCTATTATCTGTGGAAGATGAAAATATTTTTTCAAAAAGCCAATTCTACTACTTGCAAAAAATTACTCACTTCAACTACATCAAATTATTAACTTATAGAAAATACGTCTCTTATACATTATTATGATTACAGTTACAGATGAAAGAATATTTTAGGGCTATGGCTATAAGAATTACATTAAATTTGGTTTCAGGACCAATTATTGTACAAGCATCAAAAGTCCATCGTCATATTCGTTTGGATAACAGTAACTTCATCCTGCTTAGGACTGTGTAGATAAATTTTGGAAATTTGAGAAAGTGCAATCAGGCCTGTCACAAATTGGTACAATGCAAAAAAAACTACTATCATAAGTCACAAAAATCATACATTTAAGTCTTATTCTTTATCACTTGTACGTAAATTGGGGTCTTTATCCAAACTATTTTTGGTACATTTTACTGGTACTGGAAAAGAAAGTCATTTTGATGTCAGAATAAATAATAATTACTATCTTCTATCTGACTCAAAGCTCAGATTTGGCTAAAACTGAAGGGACTGGAAAAAATATGCCTTTTCAGTCTTCTCATTCTAATAGATCTTATAATTTAAATAACCTTTCTTTTCTACAGTGGTGGGTTTCAGCCAGTTCGCACCACTTCGGCAGAACCAGTAGCTAATTTTTTGTTGCCCAGGCCCAGAATGGACTTCCAGAAGCGGCATCCACACAGAGAACCAGTTGTTCACATATTTGAATCCCACCACTGCCTACTCAATACAGTATTTTAGTGCTACTGCTCATTTAATTCACTGACAAAATAACAGCATGCATATAAGAAGAGAAAAACATACCCAGGACACGAATTTGCATCACTGCTCCATGTAAACCAAAGAACATCCATAATGGTTGGGAACAATCCACACATACTTGCATGCCTGCACTTGCTCCATTGTGACTCAAGTGCAGTTCTCCTTCTGAATTCACCATGAATCCCAAGATGTCTCCACTCTGGAGAGGCACAAGCACTCTACAGACTGCCCAAAACTCTTTTCGATCAACTAAAGACTCTGGGTTATAAGGAAGGTCACTGGGTCTCAGGGTGCTAGGATCACAAGTGGTTACCCCATATGACAGTGTCCCAGTACGCGAAGTGTTGGATTTATTGATTTTGACAAATATTGTCTCATTGATTCTAAGCGGTCTGCTGGTAAAAACCAAAGTTCTCTCGTCTCGAGCATGGTCCAGACGGGCCACAGTCTGGTCATCCAGAATTTTAATATGGGCTCCCCTGAGTTGATGGAAGCGGAGGTCGCTTTCAAGTTGAGATGGGAGGAGGTGGGAATGCTGAGAGTTGAGGGAATTCTGTGGAATAGGACACATGGCAGTCATGACATGGATATTGTCCTCCTGCAAGTTGAGATCACAAAGGCTCACAGACAGACGGGTATCCTCAGTATCTCTGCGTAATGAGGGTCGGCGGATAGCTGTGAAGGATCTTGGACGGAGGCAATCAGGAGGAATAATTTCACTATCTGCAAATAAGAGAGGTGAAGAAAGTATTTCAGTTTTGTTATTAGTTGTTCAAAAAGGAATGCTTTCTTTTAATGTCACAACGCATAAAATAATCTCTTGTAAACATTTCGGTCATTCTTCTGAATAAACTGTCAAACAGTAAATTGCTGAAATAGGAGGCAACACTGGGAAAGAATAATAGGATCTTATGTGAAACCTCTAAGAAGATTGCTGCAAAGTCCTGAAAGTGATGCTTTGAATTTGTTTCACTGATAGGGTGACAAGAATATTTGAGTACACAGTTGGATTTAAAAAAGATTTTAAGAAAAGGAAGAGCTGTCTTAACCCCAATAGCATAGAAAATGTGGGCTCAGGTCATATTTTACTTGGTTTATTTATGACATTTATCATCCCTTCAATCCATTTATTTATTATTCAACTTATACAGTATGCCGCCCATCTCTTACTGCTTACAATAATTAAAAACAATAAAAATATTAAAACACTAAATAGTGACATTGAATTAGTTAAAATTAACAAAAATGAAAAGGAGCAATTTCAATCCATTGATTCCCACCATTTATAGATAATACAAATAAAACATTTATAATAAATATGTTAAATTAATAAAAGACTTTCATGGTATAAATCATTCTTTCATCCAATCAATCAATCCTTAAAGCCTTCTGGAAGATTCAGTTCTTATAAAGGAATTTAGAGGTAACCTTGGAGAAGATATAAGAGAGTTGATAAGGAAGGAACACGCCATTACGTCAGAACCTGGACAAGGGATTAAATAGTTCAAAGATACAAAGGAGCATGAAAAAAAAAGTAAACTAACATTTCTTGATTTTGTTCAGTATAAGATGGACAGAGAGAAAGATGCTGCTACTATACCGTACAATAAATGTTCAAGATGCTGCCACTATACCCTACAACAATAAAGTAACATTCCTGTAATCCCTGTAGTGTCTGTTTCTTGACCTGGTCTGTCATGTCTTTACCAACTTTAGGCAATCTTTTCTATGTCTGACCTGTTTCCCCCCCCTTCCCTCTTACAGAGTGGAAAGATTGGAGTGGAAGGCATTACAAGAGAGTAAGCAGGCAGACAATGGGGAATTCACATCTAAAGAAATGCACTGGCTCTGGCTTTTACCTAACATGCCCGGGGCCACGAGCGATTTAGATAAACAGCCAGGATTTATTTTGATGTGTATGCCTGCTTATTCTCTTGTATGTCCTTACTGTCCAATGAATGTAAATACAAATATTAATTCCCTTCTTGCTAATTATCCCAGAACCAGGGTGAGCATTCCGGGAGGGGGGGAGGAAATATGAAGTAAAATCAACAGTCACAGTCATGTGATTTTCTACTTAGCAACTGCATCCCTTAGCAATTGAATTGAGGGTGATCAATTGTGGTGGCTTAATTGAGGAGTACCTGTATCGATATTTGCTTTGTATTTTCCCTGCATAAAGTTCCTTGTTATATACACTAAGCACAGAAAACCACAAAGGTGTCCTATTGTTACTGGAATACTGTAGCATGAAGCACAAAGCTGATCATGTGGGATCAGTAAATCCTTCTGAAACTCCTATGAGAATTCTACTATTGTATATCTGTATTCAAAAGTTTCCAAAATGGCTGCTGTAACTGGATATTGCATTAGCAGCAATATTAAAGGAACGTCCTTGACTATTCTTTGACATTATCTAGCTGATATTAATCGAAAAGAGCACAGGAAATTGAAGTAAACTTTTAGCAAGACAAATATTCGATTCTGAGGCTCATTTCCTGCTTTTCTTTATAGCAAAGCAAAACTTTTTTTAATGTTTTTTAATAGTCAAGGGGTCCATTTAAATAAAGTAAGAGCAGGATATTATAAAAATAATAATAAGATTTCTCCAATAATTCTTTATCAGAAATCAAGCAAAGTACAGCTGTATTTAATTGCACCTTAAAGTACTGTACTGACATTGTTGTGGTTTGCTTTAAGACTAAGATTAAACTTACGGATTTTGTGTTAGTTTGACATTAACTGGCTGGCATGTTGAAAAACACTCAGAAAATTGAAATAATATCACTCATGAGAACAAATATTCATTTCTAGTATATAACTTTTGTCATGCTTTAAAAAAATCAACAGCTTTTTATTAGACAATGATTTTGGAGCTGATAGCAATAACACATTTACATCGCAGAAGGCACAACAATTTTTTCAGCCTCCGTTTATTTGATTGATTGTTTATCTGAGGCATAAAACATGTATTATTTTCCTAAAATATAGCAGAAAAAAGGACCATTTTTACACAATGATTTTGTTAACACTGATTTTAGCAAAGTACTGCAAAGCAGTGACACATATTGTATATGAAGTATATATCAGGGCTTGCCCATCTCTATTTTACAAGGTGTGCAGTTCTTTAGATTTGGCATGATGAAATGTTCAATGATTTCTAGAGCAAAAGGATATAAGAAAATATTTTCTGTTTTACTTTCTGTCCCTAGGTTTGTGCCCGTGTGTCTGTGTGTGCGCATGGGCATGCATATTTAATCTTACCCTTTGTTACTGAAATAGGAAGGGAGTAAAAAAAATAACACAAAAACTCTCTACTTTAGGAATGTTCTAGAAGATGGAGAATATTTTGGATTTAGTGGACCTACATATCTGTTGGATTCATGTTGAGATACAGGTTGCAAATTTTGTATCAGAATACCAGATTGTACTTCAAAGATGGCTGTATCCTAAGAAGATACTGTATACAATCAAATTTTCTATTCAGTGCATAGCAAAATAATGCATACAACCTGGCTACATAATTGGTTTTCCTCATCAATAGATGTATTTGTTCAGAGTTCTTTTGAAACTATTGGGATAGTTTAGAATGGAATCAGTGGAGCTAAGAAAATATAAGTTTATCTCTGTCTGAGTGAATCAGGTACCTTGCAAGATTTTTATAAGTTTTTCTACTGCTAAAATTAGGACCACAAGATATATCCCAAGTGACTTCTGATAGGAGGGATATCAGTTGTGGTTCTATCTTTTATAAAGTCTTCAATTACAGCCCTTCTGTGTTCACACTTATGTTTTGTTAAGGCTATACGTAAAGTCTGATACAGACATTAAGGATTAGCTGCCAGCCAATGTTTTACAATTCACTTTTACATATATTAAATTTATATACCCATGTCTCAAATATGACAGATTTAGTTAGAACTTGCTTTTACTATATTTTTCATGACCAAAGTGAAAATTCCATTTTAGAATTGTTTAGAAATATGAATTGTTTTCTAATCCACAACTTTATCATCAACAGATAATCAAGTACATGGTCTGGACTGAATATTATTCCAAGATATACTAGTTTTCTATCTGAGGAATGTTTTAAAAACTCTGAGCAAAGAGTTATCCAAAATATTATATATTTTCATATTTCAGTGTCTTGTCACCTTATCACAATAAATTCTATGGTGATAATTGTAGTTTCTATGGTGTATACTTGTTTGCCAGAAGTGAGCAGTAAACAAATACGATTCAGATAAATAATACAGAAATACATAATTACTTAAATAGATATGCTTGGTGCTGTAGATCACAAGAACTATATGATGATTGTTTGGAATATACTTTCTAAGACAAATAACCAGTGGTGGGATTCAGTCAGTTTGCACCACTTCGGCAAAACCGATAGCTAATTTTTTGTTGCTCAGGTCCAGAATGGACATCCGGAAGCAGCATCCACACAGAGAACCGGTTGTTCACGTATTTGAATCCCACCACTGCAAATAACTGTATAGCTGTACACTAATACTATATACCTCAGCTATAAGATATGAAAGCTGTTCTGACCATCTTTAATTGTACTAAAATGTCACCAGAGGATATTCAATGCCACTTCAGAGAATGCAGCATAATTCAGAATTTTTAGTTTGCAACCAAATTCAGTCTGTAGGGAATGCTCAGAGTTTTCATGCTTCCTTCATGCCACTTCATCAATTTGGCTGTATTTCAGGTATGGAAAAACTAGTTTGCACATGTGCTTAAATGCATTTCTTCAAGGCCCATTTGAGACTTTCAAAACTATTTACGAGCAGAAAGATATGATCAGATGTTTAACATACATGGATAGGAGCCAAACATGCTTAAACCAAAGCAACTTAAGTAAGTCTATGATGTGAATTATTGCTTATTCTTTAGTTAGTTATTTACAGTTTAAGATGATACCAGGAAAAAATAATGCTCTTGTTTAAACTGTATTCCAAGTAAAAAAAGAAAAACCTTGAATAATCTTACTTTTTAAATGTAAAATTAAGAATTCCTTGCATTTGAAACAGATGCAAAGCAAATAGCTGAAATATTAGCTCTAATTTGATATCTAATTTAATTTAAATTTAAATTTTACAGTCTAGTGAAAACTAGAATGGTACCAAGGAAAGCCATGTATAGGTATTTTTATGCCAGAAGATATTCTGAAGAATTCAAATATTGATGAATTCATGTAGTGACCTAAAGTAACCTCCCCATCACAAGACCATCACAAACCTCTCTCTGATGCCTCACACCTGACCATCACAAGACCCTCACTTGAAACACCCACAACTGAAGCCCTTATAAACAGAAGAGCACTGACACAGACTTCCCCTAAATGCCGCTGAAGATGTTACCTAGCCTGGTAAGAAAACGTTCAGAAATCAACTCACAAGCTCGGAGAACGAAACTTCACCCTCATTCATGTAGTATGTTGGTTGATTTTTTTTTTTTAAAAAAAATATCCTTCTATAAGAACAGAAAAAGAAAAAAGAAAAAATATATCACACCATAAGCAAAACACAAAGTGGGAAAAATTAGAATATCTTCCCCTCCTCCATTTTTATATGCATAACATATAAGACAACAAGACTATTATTAGGTTGAATTAACTCTTGCAGGTCTATATTTAATCACTGCCAAATATCAAAATTAAATTCCAGTATATATGTTTGAAGTAGATTCCACATTTGTGGTTAAAACTTCCTTGG